AAAGCTCCTCACTTGGGGAAAATTTTTAATTGTCCACTTACCCTCTCCAGCATTTCCATCTGGTTCATGAATTGTCCTGAAAATGTTATTTATGGATTCTTTTCAGTGCAATAAACACTGCAGACAAAACAAGTACATTTCTTGTAAATCCTATTCATTCAATAAAAATCATTTTGTTCGATGAATGGAGGGTCGTGGGACTGATTTTTTGGGGGCCTTTTAGAACACCAAACAAACTGTTCTCACAAGCAGTAAAAGCCACGGGGGTTTGGGAAGCTCCAGTTTCAGTGGTGGCACCGAGTTCTGGGCCTGTCAGTGGGTGAATTACCCATAAAACACCAAATTGAAACCAAAACGAAAGCCAAAATGAAACCAAAACCATCAAAAAAAAAAAAAAAAAAAAACTCCAGAGGAGGAGGGGCCAAGAACTTCTTTTTTTTTCCCCCCAGTAAATAACTCTTCCCTGTCAAACCAACTTCTTAGGAACCAAAAGCAAACTTTAATAGTCCTGACGATAAAAGAATAGAACTGTACCACACGTCCTATGCACTATCATGGATAAATATGTACAGAAATACAGTGAAACTTCCTCCAACACGGCTACAAAGTGACACTTTGTGCAGACAAAACAGAAACGGCCCCGTTCCCCACACCCCGGTAACATTCCACAGCAGAAGTGCCCTTAACAGTGTCTGATAAAGCAAGTTAATGCGCCTTTAATTATGTTTATGTCAGTAACTAGTTAACTGAAGGAAACAAAAAAGAACCCAACAAACCAACGTGGTTACAATGTCATAACTCGTTCAAGTACCTGAAACAAATCTGCCTTCGGGATGAGCTTCGGCCTCGTTTAGTTGCGGTGCCACGGAAATTACCGTTTTCCTCAGTGGGAACTAATTAAGAAGGGGGGGCGGGGGGGTAAATAAGGCTTTGTAGATGAGCTGGGGGTGGGGGGGAATCGCTGGCTGGGACAGACCAAAGCGCTCTCGGCTGCGGCGGTGCCGGACGGACAGACGGACAGACGGACAGCGGCACCTCCCGCCACCCGAGCGCGGCCCCGGCGCTCCCGGGGCGGGACACGATGCGGGGGGGAGGGCAGGGCGTGGATCCGAGGAGGCGGCAGCGCCTCCCTCATGCATCGACGGGAACGTGCCGGGCTTGTTTGATTTTACACCTTCTTCCTGTCGGGGCCGTCGGGCTCGGAGCGCGGCGCGGGGAAGGCGTGCTGGTACAGGTGCCGGTGGGTGGCGGCCGCGCTGTACAGCTTGTACAAGGCCTGGGGAGAGAGAGAGAGAGACACAGCTCGCTGACAACCCCCTTCCCCACCCCGCTCCTAAATCCCCTTCCCCACCCCGCTCCTAAATCCCCTTCCCGACCCCGCTCGGGTCAGGTTGGATCTCAGCACAAGGCTCTTCCCCCAGAGGGTGGTTGGCACTGAACAGGCTCCCCAGGGCAGTGGGCACGGCCCCAAGGCTGCCAGAGCTCCAGGAGGGTTTGGGATGATCCTCTCAGGGACAGGGGGGGGGATTGTTGGGGTGTCCTGGGCAAGGCCAGGGTTTGGATTGGATGATCCTTGGGTTTCCCTTCCAGCTCAACGAATTCTGTGATTCCACAGTTCTGATTTTTCAAACATCTCCCCCCTTCTGAGCTGTGTTCTGTCAGTAATTTGGAAAAGACATCCGGGGGTTGTTTTTCCCTGCGAGTTAAATTCCTGCAGCCTCAGCGTTTGTTTTCCCCACCAGGCGGTGACAGGTCATTGTCCTGATCGTTTTTCTGCTGATGTTGCCAGTTTTTTCCTCCTGATTTTACCATTTTCCACCAGTCCTGTAGTGACTGCAGGGTCAGGACACTCAGGAGTGGCTGCAGCGCTGCACCAAATCCCACCAGCTCCTGCTGGGAACTGTTGGTGAGCCAGGATTAGCTCTGGAAGGGGTGGGAAGAGGCACCTGACAGGCTGGAACCCTCACAGTGACAGGGTGTTCCTCATGTGCTCGGGCTGTGAATGGAGGAGAGGAGGAAGCTGCAGCGAGGAGGAGGAAGGTGGGGGATGAGAAAAGTCCAGGGATGCCCAAGGTGATGCTGAATCCATCCCAAAAGGGAACAGAAGGGGTGTTTTGGGATTGTCTGGGAACAGAGAGGACTGGTGGAGGAGACTTCTCTGCAAGTCTAGAAAATTCACCTCCAAGCCATAAGTGGCCTTGCAGCATTTTGGGCAATTTTAGGTTTTTTTTTTTTGATGCCAAACCAGTCCCTCAGCGCCGATTTTTGCTTGGCAGGGTTTGTCTGAGAGCTCATCCCCAGCAAAGCCCCTGTCCTGCCCCTTGCTGGTTTGGTATCAGTGAGGTACCAAATCAGCCCTGGCTGGGGGGGAGCAATGGGCTGATTTTTAACTGCTCTGTTTTCTTTTCGAGGAATTGCACATTTCCCTCAGCATCTCCAGAGTGTGCTGGCACTGACAGGTGGAGCTGGCAGGCTCTGGTGACACCACAAAGGATGGAGCTGTCCTGTCACAGCCTCACAGGGAGCCACTTGGCTGCAATCCTGGGTTCAGGTCTGTGAGCAGCAACTGCAGCTCAGTGGAGAATCTGCCTCGGGTTAAACAGGGGCTGACAAAGCTCTGCCTGAACAAGGTTTGGGTTGGGAGGGACCTTAAAGATCATCCAGTGCCACCCCCTGCCATGGGCAGGGACACCTTCCACCAGCCCAGGATGCTCCAACCTGGCCTTGGACACTTCCAGGGATCCAGGGGCAGCCACAGCTTCTCTGCCCAACCTGTGCCAGGACCTCACCACCCTCACAGACAACAATTCCTTCCCAATATCCCATCTATCCCTGCCCTCTGGCAGTGGGAAGCCATTCCCTGTGTCCTGTCCCTCCATCCCTTGGCCCCAGTCCCTCTCCAGCTCTCCTGGAGCCCCTTTAGGCCCTGCAAGGGGCTCTCAGGTCTCCCTGGATCCTTCTCTTCTCCAGGTGAACCCCCCCAGCTCTCCCAGCCTGGCTCCAGAGCAGAGGGATCCAGCCCTAGAGCATCCCTGTGGCCTCCTCTGGACTCTCCGCAGCAGCTCCACATCCCTGATGGTGCCCCTCAGAGCTGGGCTCTCACCTGAGGGGAGGGCAGAGGCACCTGCACAGCTGGTGCTCAAAAAAACCCTGGGGGTTGGGTTTGACCCCTCAGCACAAGTGGAAAATCCCCAAACAGAACTGATGGGAGATGAAAATCCCCATCACAACATCACAGTCCCTGCCCAGCCCTCTCCCCCCACTCGGCTCCCAGCACTTCCCACAGCATTGGGATCACACCCAGAGCCCTCACAATCCCCAGTCCTCCACAAGCCCCAACGTGCAGCTGGATCCAAGAGGCTTTTCCCGGGATCCCAGGGCCCAGCTGGCCCGAGGGAACATGCGGAGAACAAAGAGCCACTTACCTCGTTGGTGCTTCCCTGGG